GACATTTATAGCTAAATGGATGCATATTGAGGGCATACTTTTAAGTGAAATAAATAGGACACACATTTATAAATACTGAATAGTTTCTCTAGTGTGAGAAACTGAAAGTGTAAATAAGGATTAAAATCATACTATAGCGATACATGAATAACAATGTTTATAGCAGCACAATTTGTAACAGCTAGATCCTGGAAACAGCCTGTATACCCATGAACAGATGATTGAATAAAGAAAATGTATCTATATATAATGGAATACTACTCAGCTATAAAGAATGACAAATTTGAGGCATTTGTAGGAAAATAGATGCACTGGAAAATATAATATTGAGTGAAACAAACCAGACACACAAGCTTAAATACTATATGGAATCTCTCATTTGAGTGAGACAAAGTACAAACAAAGAAAATGATAAAGAATGGATAGAAAGGGACAAGGGGACAGATCTCTTGCAATAGGAGTCATCCAAGGGGACAAGGGCGAGAGATGAGGAAGAGGGGAAAGGGAAATAAGTAGAATAAAGGTATGCCACATACAGAAACCTAGTAATCCCAATTAATATAAAAGCTATACATTATAACATGAGCTGAGACAATATCAACAATTATGAAAAAGGAGATGGGGGAAAGTAGGGAGAGAGGGAGGTGGAGGGAAGGAGAAGGAGGCTAAAAAAGGAAAGAAACAAGCTGTAATAGGTACTTGTAACCACTGCCAAGAGGATTGTAAACTGCATGAATTGCAAACATGTAGTAATTTTTTAAATGCTTAGAAATTGTTCTGATAACCTTGAAGAGGATTGAACTTGTTCTGGGAAATTAGCCACCGAACCAGGCAACTCAAATTAGTCAAGAGTCTAGTGACCTTTTGATCAAAAAATTCTTAACGTTTAAAAAAATCTAGTCTAACAATGATTAACCATTCATCGAAAGTGAATTTTCTAAACAATGCAGTATGGCAGTCTGTTGTTTTTACAGCAAGATTATAATAAAACTGACAAACTAAGTTGTCATAACTAAAAAAAAATGATTAAAAAGAATAATTGATAATTTGAAATAGGAAGAAAAGGTGCAAAGGGGTAGGGGAGGTGGGAGGGGAAGGGGAAAAGAAAAATTAAGAGAAAAATAAAATGGAAATGAAGTCTACGTTGTGGGACTGCATAACCTTTGTTCCTTTTTCTCCAGCCCCATTGTGATTAAAATGTGAGTTAATGGATGGAGATGCTTGTTAGTCTAGGGATGCTAGATAGGGATCTGTAACAGACCTAGAGTCCCAGAGTGAACTACTCAACTCTTTGTTTATCCGGAACTGTTATTCCAGGCACCACAATTGTTAGAACAAGCTGCAGATGTCTGCTGACCATCAATATGTGACAGTCGACCACTAACCTTTGTCCCCTTTTCTTTAATATGTTAACTTCCCCCTCAACCCCCTATAAAAACAGCCTCTGAGCCAGTTGCCTCTCTAAGCTATTTTGCTTCGGGAGTGCCGTCTGGCCAGACTAATAAAGGTCTGTTT